AGGGAACCCACTGCCACACGCTCGCCACACCCCCAAACATACTTTGTGTATTTTTTTTTTTACTCATAGAAGTTTGTGATATAATATTCATTCTGGTACCAAAAAATTTGCAAATAAGTTCTCTACAAAACAAAAGTATCCCCATCCATTTCAGTTAAAAAATGGAATTTATAGAAATATTTTTTCGATGGACGAGAAAAGTAGGCTGTTATGCAGAATCGTAAGAAAAAACGGCGACGAGTTATCTCTAATCTAAAGCGCGAAAGTGTTAAGGTGGTCAAACTCGTCCCCCCCCCCCCCAAGGTAAACCTGCATAAAAGTAGAAGTTTCCCACCAATCAAGCGTGCGGGTCCGACAGAACCCATGCCACGCCCCTAACGAAAAGAAAGGGCAGTCTGCCAACAAGGCAGACTCAGGAACCTCCAAACGCACCCAAAAATGGGAAGAAGAACCGAACTCAAACGAGGATGGATCCATTGCAGAGGCATAACCTGGGTCTCGCAAGAGGTAAGCAGCAAGAGATTCCCGAGCCACCTTCGCGGAGATACGGGAAGTAGAAAACCTCTGGAAAGACGGATCCGAGGTATCCAAAGTCGCCGGGAACCGAACCTGGGGAGGAGCCGTATCCAAATCATACTCATACAGGGAAGGGGGTTAAGAAAATCCCTCCCCCTGCAACTATAAGCACCACGAGGAAGGCAAAAGCACCCAAGCGGGGTCGAAGGGGGCTCAAGGCCCCCAGGTTGACTCCTCCCCAGCCCCAGGATCCCCCACGTCAGGACCCGGGGCAGAGCCGTCCTCCAAACCCTCTACCCCTGAAGAAAAGGCAGAGTCCAAGGGAAAGGCAGACAAGAATGGGGTCTGCTGGTGGGATCCAGAAGCCTTGGCAGGAGGAACCGGCTCAAATGCCTCCGTCCCTGACCCGGATGGGGCAGCCCCCGAGGCAGCCAGAGTCTCATTACCAACTAAAACCTGTGCCGAGACCAAAACCCTCAGACATTTTGGAGCCGGACACAGGGGGGAGGTGCAGGAAGAACCACAGGGAAAGGACCAGGGGGCGCGGCAGGAGCCAAAGCCGAAGCAACTAATGCCCCCAGGTCAGGGTCCCTAAAACCAAAACGGGCAGCCTCGGGGCATCCGAGTGGGAAACCAACCTAGCGCGTTGCAATAACCTAAACCTAACATGCAACACTGATGCTGCCTGTACCCTAACAGGAACATCCTCAGAGTAAAACTGGAGCACAAGCAGAGAACATGACTCGCAAGACGCCGGGTCCAAGGTGTCGTTGACCCAACAGGCAGCATGATGGAGGCAAAACAAGTGACTGTCACCCTGAGACAAGGGCACACTCAATCTTCAAACCCCCACAAGGCAAGCTGGAACTCAGGATATGCATCCATGGGTCCACCGAGTCCCGACAGGGAATTCCAGGGCCCGTAGGGTAACAACAACGGGAAGCCCAGGCAAGGGGTTGCTAACCGGTTAAGCCAAACAAACAAGGGTAGATGATAACACTGAAAATCCCCTGGGACATGTACAAGCACGGGGGCCTAGCAGAGGGCCACCAAAACAATATCAGGGGAACTGTAGACCCACGAGGCAGAACCTCCACCAGGCAAACAAAAACAAAATAAAAGAAAAACCCCGCAAAAGTACACCGTCCCCAGAGGCAACAGGAACCGGTCACCGCTTAGGTGGCAGGCGACGCAACACCTTGACACCCTAACCAGCACAACACCACCTCCCTACCCAAGGCCAAACAAGGACCCCAAGCCCCAGCTGGCCCCAAGGGTGAGGCAAATGCCGAGCAGCAAGAACCCCTACGGGAGCGGTTCCCGAACGCCCCAGGGAAGATAACCCTGACACGCAGGGGCAGTACTCACAGGGCGCCTAGGGAAGGAAGCCCCTAAGCACATGCAGCCCCGGTACTGATAAGGTACTCCTGGCCACCGCACACCACACAAAGACAGCAGAGAATGTCACACAAGGCAAACACCGCCCAGGAATTTGAGGCCAGAGAAGCATCTATCCCGGTTGACACTAGCTTAAAAACTGAAGGCAGCCAGTGTGGTGAGGTTCGGGGCCCCCCTCCCCCTCCCAGGGAGAGGAGGGCTGCGTGGACGACCGATGTGGCAGTAAATTGATTGATTAATTGTTTCCTTGGGATTGTAGTTAGTTTCTACCTCTCTGTTCGGCTTTTTGTTGTAGTTTTTACCATGTGGGGTTTTTGTTTTGCCTACCTTTCTGGGTGCCTGTCTCAATGGCAGATAAGGAAAACCCCCAACCATAATGGGGTTTTCCAGAGCCATTGCTCCCTGAAACCTCTCTGAAGGGGCCAGGTTCTGGCACTGGACCCTAGTAGGTCTGAACTCCATAGCTAATGTCCTGGTCTAACATAACATACATTAGCCCGATAGGCTCCAGGGAGCCATAGGGGCTCCCCACAGAAAAGACGAATTGCGTTATAGTCTTGACAAATCAGACATTATTGCTGCCTTCAGAGTAGGTAAAAAGAATCCATCAGGACAAAACCAGAGAAAAATTTGCCTCAAGCTAGTTTACCCAGTCCATAAAATCTAATCTTGTCTGGACAGCTGTATCCCAACGAAAGGGGATTTTCATAGAGTGCTTGAGTAGAAAAAGACAAACTCCTTCACCACCTGCGTCAAATCCGTAATCAAAACCGAAATGCAATTCATCAGTGCTTCGTTAGAGATGGCATGATAAAAGTGAGAAAGACCTCTGCAGGTAAAATGTTTACAATTGCTAATGAGGATAACCTCAACCCATTCCTCACCCAATGTGGTTTGCCTCACCTGATTATCCCTATCAATGACTCATCATAACTAACCCTCCCTTGTCACCTAGTGTGGGCTAGATAACCAAAGTTTCTTTGTTACACTGATTATTTAAATTAAATTTTAATTTTGTTTGATATTAGTCATTTATTGAACTTTATTGAGTACATTAATTTTTTCTTTAATTCATATTAATTATAGGATCATAACTAAACAATTTATAGTTAATTATCATTAAGATTAAATTTGCCTGTTTATTATTTAACTTTTTCATTGCTTTCATTATTACCTAGGTTGCCTAGCCTTGCCATACTCCCTTACTCCATTGTACCCCTGCCTTTGCCTGTGTCTCCTAATGTAAATTATTATTTTCAGTGTACCTGAGGTACACTGAAAGAACAGAAAACTTTGACACTAACAAAGTTAGTTCTGTAACAACAGAAAACAAGCAAACTAGTGTGACGTCACACGTTGCCGCGCCGCTGTCTGCGCAGCTCCCCCCTCCCCGGGAGGGGGAAGGGGGAGCCCCAGACCCTTCACGCCGGCTACCCACACCTTAGTTCTTGAGGATGATGCTATAGGCGAAGGTCGTTTGCTCTGGCTCCAGTGTCGCTGCAGCACTGTGCTTTGTGTGTGGTGTTCGTTTTCTGTGGGTGCGAGAGCCAGGAGTTATCTTCAGTACTCAGGCTGCATGCGCCTAGGGCTGCCTACCCTAGGTGCCCTGTAAGTACTGCCCTTGGGGCTTGAGGCCACCTTCCACAGGCTCCTCGGGACCTGCCTCTGCTGGTCCATTCTACCTTTCGGTTTTTCGGCCACCTGTTGGGCTCTTGGGTGTTCTGTTCTTCCTTGTTACCAGCAGGTAAGAGGCAGTTTGCACTGGTAGGGGCGCAGGGTGCTGCGCAGCTTTGTATTTCCAACATAGCGGCCGACTCTGTTCCTTGGGGTTCGCTGTTCTCTTTGGGGGGTTTTGTTTTTGCCTTGTGGGGGTTTTGCCCTATTACTGTTCACTGAACACTGTTCCGCTGGTGTTTGCCCTTCCACGGTTCTCTTTGGTGGCGTATATCTCCTTGGAAGAATGAGATGGCGACTTTCCCGGAGGGGTCCTTAGATGGTTGATGCTTTGTTGGTTCGGCTGGGGGTGCATCATGTGTTGTGTCCAGTTGCATTTCTTTGCCGTTATTTGCACTCCATGGCTTCCGTGACTGGGGACGCGCTTTGGATTGACCTGGTTTCCCCTTCTTCGCTGTTCCAGGGCTGGGGTTTTCCAAGTTGTCCATAAGGTTATTTGGTCCAGCCAGCCTGCGGTCAATCCTTGCGCCCATGACGTTGGAAAATTTTCTGCTTTAGCTGCCATTTTTGGTAATATGTCTTGGGCTGACATTCATGCGCGAGAATTTTGGAGGTCGAATAGGCCGCCCGTTACCTCATTAATGTTCCTGGCCCTAGTCAGGCATGATGCTTTGGGTCGCAGGTTGCAGCCAGTTGTCTCGACTTCGAGTCAAGATGCAAGTGGCGGCCATCTCCCGGGTAAATCCCTCTTTACTTTTTCTGTGGTTAGGTAGCTCCAGGAAACTAGAGGGGCTCTCCACAGAAAACCAGCGTTGAATGTAATGAAATACCATTATTTTTGAGAGTCCCGGAGGCTCCCTGGCAACCCTCCCTCATACCGGTTGGCGGTTTTCATGTTTTGATATTCAGCCTCTGAACTGAGGTTGGGTAGCCGATGCAAAGGTTCTGTGGCTTCCCCTTTCCCCTCTTGGGGAGGGGGGAGGTGCTGTGCAGACAGCTGTGCGGTAGCAGTTGTGACATTGTGCTTGTTTGCTTGTTTTCAGGTTGTCGAGTTCTGCTTGATAGTTCGGTTTTTGGTAGCAATTTTAACCAGGTGGAGTCTGTTTTGGGATGCTACCTTTCTGGGTGCCTAACTTGGTAGATGGCAGACATAGACTGCTTCCAAACACATGGGGGTTTCTATAGGACATTACTCTTCATACCTCTCTGAGGGGGCGAGGTTCTGGCTTATGGTCCCCAGTAGGCTAGAACTCCAATCGAATTGACTGATTCCACAGTCTAATATACATATCATACCAGCCTGGAATAGCTCCATGGAGCTTCTGGGACTCGCCCAGAAAATGGCATTTCATTACATTCAACGCTGATTTTCTGTTTCGTAATATATAATTATTTATGTTTTCATACTTTAGCCTTTTGAGTGTGGCAATGGAAGAGTTGATGAAGGTGAACAGTGTGACTGTGGACCAAGAGAGCAATGTGACTTTGTTGATCCTTGTTGTGATCCCCTCACATGTCGTCTTAAGCTGGAGGCAGAGTGTGCCACTGGGCCTTGTTGTAATAAATGCCGGGTAAGATATTGCAGTTAAACTTTGTTGTATCCAAAGATACAGTATATAATAATGTGATTTACATATAATTGGTAAACCTTAGGTACAAAATAGATAAAATATTGCTATAAACATTTCTATATCATCATTGGGAACACTATCATTTGCATATATTTTTTTGTTTTGTTTTGTACAGCTGCGCCCGAAAGGTTACAAGTGTCGTAAAGCACAAACTGAGTGTGACATTCCAGAATTTTGCAATGGTCTTCATGGCAGCTGCCCCATGGATATTTACAAGAAAACTGGTAGCAAGTGTGGAAATGGAAAGGGCTACTGTTTCAAGGGCATTTGCCCCACACTGAACAACCAATGTGAGCTTATTTGGGGCTATGGTGAGTATACTTATTATTAGCTGAGTGATGAACAGGAGAAATGCATTCTACTATTCTTTTTTTTGTGCTCAAGGTGATGTGACCTGATAATTGATATTTCTGAAGAGAGCCCCATGTGGCTCCCTGAAGCTATCTTTTCGAGATTGCTTCACATTAAAGGGTCACATCAATTGCAGATTTTTCTGTTTGGACTACCAGGGACCAAAGCCAGAACCTGGCCCTCTCACAGAAGCAGAGAGAGCAGGTGACAATCTGCCACCTCACCAGAAAAAGCCTCCAGAAAGCCAGGGCAGTTTTACCAACAGCTGGAGGGTTCACAGAAAATGAAGCCTTGAAAAACTGCCAAACTACTACGGTACTGCTAAGGAGTCACACAGAACAAAGGTTTCAATTAGACAAGCTCAAAATTTATTAGTACCAAAATACAGTACCACAAAAAATGGCCCGGCCTTGGCTCCCAGCTGACTCTCAGTCAGTTCTGTTCCAAATGCCTCCCAATACCTCAAACCCATTCTTTTTGCTGATGACACCACCTTCATTTACTCCAGTCCTGACTCCCTTGCTCTAAATGTCAGTGAATACTGAGCTAAATAAAGTCTATCTCTGGCTAACTGCCAACAAACTCACCCTCAACATTGACAAAACTTGCTATATTTTGTTTGGCAATAAATCCTCAAATCAAATAAATCTCAAGATAAACAATTCCCAAATTTGTAACGAAGTAGATGGCAAATTCCTTTGCGTTCTCATTGAGAAAAAGCTGAATTTCCAGAGACACATTCTAAATATATCAAAAAAAGTTTCAAAAACTGTTGCCATTCTTTCTAAGATCAGATATTATGTACCTCGCCCTGCCCTAGTGACGCTCTGTTACTCTCTCATCTATCCTTATCTCAACTATGGTATTTGTGCTTGGGGTTCTACTACGCAAAATCATTTACATCCTCTAATTACTCAACACAAAGCTGGTATTAAAAAAATATCTAACTCTGGACATCACTCGGTACCCTTACTCAAATCTCTGAATATGTTGGATATTAAATCACTGCACATCCTCTCATGTGTATTTTATATATATATATAAAACGCTGAACTGTAATGTCAATCCTGACCTCAAAAGCTTCCTAGAAGATTGTAACAAAACCCATGAGCACCCACACCAGAAACAAATTCCAAGAGTACGACTTAATCAAACTAGAAATGATCTACAAATCAAGGGACCCAGAATGTGGAATGACCTTCCCAATCATGTTAAAGACTGTACCTCTCCCAACCAGTTTAAGATTAAAACTTAAGTACTACCTAATTAACTCCTTGTAACCAACTGTACCACTAAATGTCAACCCATGTCTACTATTTTAAACAATGCTGTTTGTTGACCAAATTGTATATTTGCTATTTTCTGCCATGTTCCCCCCTTTTCTGGGGGGAGCCCCATCGGCTCCCTGGAGATAATGTTAATGTCTGACTTTGGCATCAGTCATGTGTATGGAGTTCTTAGGTCTAACGGGAATTAACGGTCCCACAGCCAGAACCTGTTCCCCGTTTCAGGGCTTGGGACTCCCAGGTCGTCCGCAGAGTTTTTCAGTTTTCCAGCCTGTGGTCTGTCTTTGCGCCCGTGCTGTTCGGACGTTTGCAGCTTTTGCTGCTGTGTTGGTGACTCTAGGGCTCATTTTGGGCACAGGGAATTGAGGGTCGCACAGGTTCTTGGCTGCCCATTCTTTGTGTGTGTCTGCTCCTGTGCGGTCTTGTTGCCTTGGGTCGCAGGTTGCATCCTGTTGTCTCGGCTTCGCATTGCGGAGTTTGTGGCGGCCGCCTCCCGAGTTAGCCCTTTCTTTTCCTTCTCTTTGGGTATGAAGCTAGGGGCTCCCCACAGAAAACCAACGTCGAATGTAATGAAACGCCATTTTCTGGGTGAGCCCCGGAGGCTTCCTGGCAACCCTCCCTCCCACCGGTCGGCGGTTTTGTCGCGATGGTTGAAGCTTAGCTTCTGAACTGAAGCTTGGCAGAGCGGTACGTCCGGGGCTCCCCCCTCCCCCTCTCGGGGCGGGGAGGGCTGCGCGGACGATCGGCGCGGCAGTAAAGTGTGATGTTTGCTTGTTTGCTTTTTGCTGTTGTTTTTTACTATGTGGGGTTTTTGTCATGCCTACCTTTCCGTGTGACTGACCTCGGTCGATGGCAGATAAGGAAAACCCCAACCACGAGGGGTTTCCAGGGCCATTGCTCCCTGAAACCTCTCTGAAGGGACCAGGTTCTGGCACTGGTCCCTGGTAGGTCTGAACTCCTTAGCTAATGTTCCGGTCTAATATAACATACATTAGTCCGATAAGCTCCAGGGAGCCTCCAGGGCTCGCCCAGAAAATGGCATTTCATTGCATTCAACGCTGGTTTTTTTTTAAAGTACTCAAACCATCCCTTGCTCGCCTTAAACTCTTTCATATCTGCATCACTCATTCCAGGGATTTTCTTTGAGATCTAAATGCACTAGCCCTGCTTTTTCACAAATGATAGCCTCTAAAATGCTAACATCTGCTAACTGCTTGTTGTTTATCAAAATTAATAATAACTTCTCTTGTTTTTCCTCTATTGTCATCCTCACGACTATTTTCTTAGGTTGAACTTTACCACAGAATTTCTTGGGACCCATGGCATCATATATAATAACTTTTATGTTCAGAAACCAAAAAAGCAGAAAAACAATGAAATTTTTTACCAAGAATTCAAACGCGGTCATCACCATGCAGGATTCACTGGTAAACAACTGAGTGTCTCTCGCCATGCGCCCCCAGCACCACGCGCTCCCTCGACCCATACACTTATCAACAGATGTCGTATTCCAAGGAAACCGTTGTACACCAATTCAAATTTTCTGTGTTGAGCCCCTACGGCTCCCTGGAGCTTATCGGGCTAATTTATGTTATGTTAGACCGGGACATTAGCTATGGAGTTCAGACCTACCATGGACCAGCGCCAGAACCTGGTCCCTTCAGAGATTTCAGGGAGCAATGGCCCTGGAAAACCCCATTATGGTTGGGGGTTTTCCTTATCTGCCATCGATCGGGGTCAGGCACCCAGAATGGTAAGCATAAGAAAAAAACCCACATGGTAAAAGACTATAACAAAAAAACGAACAGAGGTAGAAACTCCCTATAATCCCAAGGAAACAATCAATCAACTGCTGCGCCGGTCAACCGCGCAGCCTTCCCCTCCCCGGGAGGGGGAGGGGGGGCCCCGGACCTCACCGTGCCAGCTGCCTTTAATTCGTAAGCTAGTGTCAACCGGGATAGACACTTCTCTGGCCTCAAATTCCTGGGCGGTGTTTGCCTAGTGTGGCGTTCTCTGCTGTCTTTGTGGTGTGCGGTGGCCAGGAGTACCTCATCAGTGCCGGGGCTGCATGCACTTAGGGGCTTCCTTCCCTAGGCACCCTGTGAGTACTGCCCGTGCATGTCAGGGTTATCTTCCCTGGGGCGTTTAGGAGCCGCTCCCGTAGGGGTTCTTGCTGCTCGGCATTTGCCTCGCCCATGGGGCCATCTTTGGCTTGGGGTCCTTGTTTGGCCTTGGGCAGGGAGTGGTGTTGGGCTGGTTAGGGCGTCAAGGTGTTGTGCGGCCTGCCACACAACACCTTTTTCGGTTTCCTTGTCTATTGTGCCCGTTGTTTCCATCCTGTCGGTGGGTGCTTTTCTATGGTCTTCGCCCCTCTTTTCCGGGACTGGCCTTCTCAGTCATGTCCCCCTCTTCTTGGGGTTTCTGCACGACTTTTGGTCTCGGGTGCGACGGGGTTTTTGTGCCTTCGTCCTTTGTGTTTGCTTCTTTTTGTTCTCAAAGGTTTGGGACGGTTTTGCTCCTTCCCGTTTTCTGGTACATCTGTCGTCATTCGGTTGAGCTTCCCTCAGGTCCTTTCTAGGGCTTGTGGGTCCTCTTCCCGGCAGCTTCTGGGTGTTTGGCCTTCTTGTTCTTTTGTGCATATCTCTTCTCTTCGCGCTGTCTCGGCGCTACTCGTGTTCCTGGGGGCGATTTTGCTCCTCTTAATGAGTCTTTTCGCTCCTGCCCTTCTGCGGGATGGCTCCTTATGCGGGTTCCTTCCCTGTCGGCTGCACTTGTGGCGGTGGACTTGCACGCTTGTGGCATTTTGGTTTTGGTCCTGCGTTTTCTTTTCCCTCCTGGGGCTGTCATAGGATTGGCTTGCGGAGGACGTAGAGGTGCTTGGGGCCGTTCCTGGGTCTGGCACCTTGGTTTCTGCTGCTAGCTTTCGGTATCGATGTTCCTTCTGTGCCGTTTCGCAGGCTGTCTCGTGCGTTGTTTCACCTCCAGCCTGCTTATGCACTGCCTGTGCCGTCCTGGTCTTTGGACAGGGTACTCTCCTGTTTTTCTTCTCCTTGGTGGTTGTGGCTCCTTGGGGTCAGGTTTGCTTTGCCTTGGCTCTTTTTTTTTTCATGTTGGCATTGGCCTCTGGGAGTCGTGTGGCAGAGCTTCATGCACTTCTCAGGCGCAGTGGTTTTTGGCTCTTATGGTCTTGGTCATAGGTTTCTTCATCTGCGGCCGTTCTCCCTTTTTCTGGCGAATGTTATTCCTGCTACTTTCCGGAGGGGTCCTTGGGTTGTTGTCTCGACTTCGTGTTGCGGAGTGGTTCACCGACCGCCTCCCGGGTATGTCCCCTTGTTTTCTTAGGTAGTCTTTGGTGAAGTAGCTCCGGGGAGCTGTAGGGGCTCCTCCCAGAAAACCAGCGTTGAATGTAATGAAACGCCATTTTCTGGGTGAGTCCCGGAGGCTCCCCGACACTCTCCCGCCCTCCGGTCGGCATTTTTTTCGCGGTTTTGATATCCAGTCTCAGAACTGGGGTGGGGATCGCCGGCGCGGAGGTCTGGGGCTCCCCCTTCCCCCTCCCGGGGAGGGGGGAGCTGCGCAGACATGCGGAGCGGCTCGTGTGACGTCATGCTTGTTAGTTCGTTTTCCTGGGGGAGTTCTGTCCACTCGTTTGTCGATTTTTGTTGTTAACCAGAAGAGGGGTTTGTTTTGTAGCGTTTACCTTTCTGGGTGCCTGTCCTGGTCGATGGCAGATATAGAATGCTCCAAATCACATGTGCATTTCTATGGGCCATTGCTCCCTGTGCCTCTCTGAGGGGGGCCAGGTTCTGGCTCGTAGTCCCCGGTAGGCCTAGAACTCCACCCACATCGACTGATGCAAAATAGTTAGGGTATCCATATCAGCCATGGATAGCTCTGGGGAGCCTCCGGGACTCGCCCAGAAAATGGCCTTTCATTACATTCAACGCTGGTTTTATATATATGTAGCATTGAACCACTTGCTTTTGTTGTTTTTCTAAATTGTGGTTGTACTCTTGGAGATGGAATTTCTCTTCAATTATCTTTTCTCATCCCAGTATTTCATCAATCACACTAATGTTGGGCTTCATAAGCTCAGGAAAGCTCTTGATGTACTGTAAAAAACTAGATTTTCATTACACTTAACATACTATTTTTTATTAATTTCCAGAGTGATTGCATGTGAATTTAAAGAAAAAATAAACAAGGAAATCAATTTTCTCTCTAGGTGGTCAAGCATCAGATGAGACATGCTACAAGCAATTTAATATAGATGGTGTTACCTATGGCAACTGTGGCCGCCACCACAATGGCAGCTATATCAAATGTGAAATTGGGTAAGTACACGATATTGATACAGTATAATACCTGAAATATTTATTGTAATATTAAAAAAATTTAATTTACAAATAGTGTTGCATAAGTATACAGTAATAACTGTGTATTCAAACAAGTTGACTAAATTCTTCCAAAACTTGACTTATTTAAATAACTGAACAGTCCATATATATAGTCAGTTATAAAATTTGTACACCAAAAAATTACATTGCGATTCTGCTTTTGATTTTGTACAGTGCAGTGGAATGCCAGTAGTCTGAAACTTAATATTTTGGCAGCCACACTTCTTCAACACAACTTGAAAGTATGTCTTGAACTAATAAAACTATTAAATAGTTATCAGTCTGGCAGAATCCTCAGAAATTTGATAAAATTGAATTTTCCAGGAATTAAGCGATACTTTATTGCACGTAATAAATCTATATTTGATATTAATAGGAAACATATACATTGACATCTGGTATAGGGCCCAGAGGCAGTACTATCTCACCAGGCATCTCAGACATTTTCATGGCCGACTAGAAGCTGGGATCAGAATCCTGTTTTCTCAGAGGCAAGGGAACTGAGAGGTGTTTTAAGGATACTTTACACAATAAGGAAAAATTCTGAAAAAAAAAAAGGCTAAAGGTGGGTCACAAAAACTCTAAACACTTGCAGAGAGATATTTGGTAGAAACAAATACCAGACATAATACACAACAATCTACAGAGCCGAAAAACCACCCTGCTGCTGCTGCGCTTTCCTGCCACCAGATAGCAGTGCTAGTTAACACTTTGCCGCATGGCGCGTGACCGCCGTAGACTTCCCCGTAATGCTCCCAGTGTTTCGGGTGAGCTTGTGGCGACACTAAAATGTGTATATTCGTTTCGGTTTTCTCTCCTTAATTCTCATGCAACGTTGTTTGTTTTGGTATCACTGTGTTTGCAATAGAATTCCCTACATGGGTATATGCATATAATGTCCAGAAGCCCAGCGTGACTCCCCCATAACAAAGCCTAAATTTGGCAAAACGTTACCTGTGAGCTTGCAAAATCAATAAAATGTGTATACGCGTTTCAGTTTTCTCACCTTAATTCTCGTGCTTTGTCATTCGTTTTGGTATCAATGTGTTCGCAATAGAATTCCCTGTAGGGATATATGCATATAAGATTCAAAAGCCCGGCGTGACTCCCCCACAGCAAAGCCTAAAGTCTGCCAACCGTTACCCATGAACAAGCACCAATTGGCACAATGTAATTACCTAAGTGTAGTTATAGGAAGAGAGCTATGCTCTTGGTGTCCCGTCTACCCAGCACTTTGTCATATAACGCTTTAAAGCTACTGACGATTTTGGCCTCCACCACCTTCTCACCTAACTTGTTCCAACCGTCTACCACTCTGTTTGCGAAAGTGAATTTTCTTATATTTCTTCGGCATCTTTAAGTTAGTTTAAATTTATGACCTCTTGTTCTTGAAGTTCCAGGTCTCAGGAAATCTTCCTTATCAATTTTATCAATACCTGTTACTATTTTGTACATAGTGATCATATCACTTCTTTTTCTTCTGTCTTCTAGTTTTGGCATATTTAATGCTTCTAACCTCTCCTCCTAGCTTTTGACCTTTGGGAGCCACTGAACCACTTTTTGCCCAGTTCTGGGAGCCACTTAGTAGCATGTCTTTGCATCTTTTCCAGTTTATGTGCTTGTACACTTGTTCAGTTTGATAACATCAATTTTCGTGTTACGTCTTTCATTGAGGTTCAAATTGTTTACAATCTAAAGGCATGCATTTTAAAACTAGTCCCATAATAATAGAACAATAAATAGAATTTTAACAAATATTTGAAATTTTTGACGCTCATCACCACAAAATTATTTACACCTTTCCAGTTCTGACATCAATTGTCATGTTACGTCTTTCATTTTGGTTTCAAATTGTTCGCAATCTAAAGGCGCACATTTTAAAACTAGTCCCATAATAATAGAATAATAAATGGAATTTTAAAATATATTTTAAATTTTGGACCACAAAAGTGTTCATAATTTTTCCAGTGTTCTGACCTCATTTGTCAGGCTATGTTGTCATTATGGTATTACATTGTGCACAATCTAAAGGCGCTCATTTTGAAACCACTCCCAGATTGATCAGATGAAATAATTTTAACAAATATTTGAATCATTGGCGCAAGCACGAGTCCGCCACTAGGACCTGAGAGAAAAATAATGGACGCCAATTCGTCCCATAGAGCTCGAAAGTGATTTTGAATGATTTTGATGATTTCACTCGAAAGCGAGTGAAAGTGATGTTTGATCCAGTTCCCTTTGTTCCCTGTTTCAGGGCTCGGGTCTCCCGGGTCATCTGCAGAGTTTTTCAGTCTTCAAGCCTGCGGTCTGTCTTTGCACCCGTGCTGTTCGGACGTTTGCAGCTTTTGCTGCTGTGTTGGTGACGTCTAGGGCTCATTTTAGGCGCAGGGAATTGAGGGTCGTACAGGTTCTTGGCCGCCCATTCTTTATGCGCTTCTGCTCCTGTGCGTTCTTGTTGCCTTGGGTCGCAGGTTGCATCCTGTTGTCTCGGCTTCGCTTTGCGGAGTTTGTGGCGGCCGCCTCCCGGGTTAGCCCTTTCTTTTCCTTTTCTTTGGGTATGAAGCTCCAGGGAGCCATAGGGGCTCCCCACAGAAAACCAGCGTTGAATGTAATGAAACGCCATTTTCTGGTTGAGCCCTAGAGGCTCCCTGGCAACATTCCCTCCCACCGGTCGGCGTTTTTTTCGCGTTGGTCGAAGCTTAGCTTCCGAACTGAAGCTTGGCAGCCGGCGCGGTAGGTCCGGGGCTCCCCCTCCCCATCTCGGGGCAGGGAGGGCTGCGCGGACGATCAGCGCGGCAGTAAAGTGTGATGTTTGCTTGTTTCCTTGGGGTTGTAGCGAGTTTCTACCTCTGTTCGTTTTTTTGTTTTAGTTTTTTACCATGTGGGGTCGTTTTGTCATGCCTACCTTTCTGGGTGCCTGACCCTGGTCGATGGCCGATAAGGAAAACCCCAACCATAACAGGGTTTTCCAGTGCCATTGCTCCCTGAAACCTCTCTGAAGGGGCCAAGTTCTGGCGCTGGTCCCTGGTAGGTCTGAACTCCTTAGCTAATGTCCCGGTCTAATATAACATACATTAGCCCAATAAGCTCCAGGGAGCCTCCGGGGTTCACCCAAAAAAAGGCGTTTCATTACATTCAACGCTGGTTTTATAAGACAAAAGAATTTTTTTTTTTTTTTTTTGCGCCTGTGGGTGTTGAAGCCATTTGGACCCCTCGTGGTTTGAGGGTTAATGTTGCCTTTATTTTGAGGAATTTTTTTTTTGTAATATTTTATTTTGGCTCTTGTAATAATTTTAGACAGCATGAATGAGTAAATCTTTGAAAATTCTTTGGAGATGACTTCTAGCCTATACTTCTTTTCAAAGTCATGTGTTTTATTAGTAGATTTAAGTATACTATGATAGTGGAGTGAAGAATGATAGTTCATTCAAGAATGATAGTTCACTATAATATCTAATTTTGCCAATTTGTTGTGTAGACTTCTTATATCAATGCTTTCTTCATTAAAACTCCCCAACTCTAGCTCTGTTTTGTTTTCCTTCTTACTGGCGGCCATCTTAAATGTTGTTGTCTGCTCTGTGAACACTAGGGCAACTTTTCTATTTCAATTTTTTACTTCACTTTGCACATTCGTGTTATCTCACCTATTTTTCCAAAGCACTACCCCTTTATGTTCCTTGGGACACCACTCACTATCATCAACCTTTACTACAATACTTAGGAATTGTGAAATATCTCGGCGCTCCTCTGATGCAGGTGTTAACACAAGGGGTGTCACCTTTGGTATTTCGCTCTCGAGTCGGTGTTCCTAAATGGAGATGTAATTACCTAAGTGTAGTTACAGAATGAGTGCTATGTTCGTGGTATCCTGTCTACCCAGTACATACAGCCACTTGGTTTGCAAACTTAGGTTATCCGAAAGTTCTGGTTTTCTGATTGGGGTTGGGGTTTTATGCTACACGAACTAAGTTTGGGAATGGGGAAGTGGTCTGCCAAGCCTCGGGTCAGCCAGCCGGCCCGTGGTGGTGGGTGGGGTGTTGGACTGCAATACTGCCAATAAGAACTGCACAATGAATGGAAATCCGTGCACCCTGTCTTCTTCAAATGCACATATTGTGTCAGTAAAAGCATCAGTCAAGCATTCAGTCAAAGTCGGGCAGGCATTCACAATTGTAGTAGCAACCGGTCACAGTTTGTAAACATTTGTCTGATGTTTACAGAACACCAATGTTATGTACTCTCACAAACTAAATGTACCTTTTTGTATACAAGTCAGTCAGTCAAGGCAGGCAGTCAGTCAGGGCAATCAGTTGGGGCAGTCAGTCAGTCGGTCAGTCAGTTGGTCGGTTGGTCGGTAAGGTCAGTGCAGTCAGTCAGTGCAGTCAGTCGGTAAGGTCAGTGCAGTCAGTCAGTGCAGTCAGTCGGTAAGGTCAGGGCAGCCAGTCAGGGCAGTCAGTCAGGACAGTCAGTCAGGACAGTCAGGACAGTCAGTCAAGGCAGTCATTCAGTCAGGGGAGTCAAGGAGTCTGCCTCCAAGGCCACCATCTGGTAGAAAGGTAGCAGAGAATCTGAACCGTATTGATACTGCACTGACCGTCTACACGTGCCTGGAGGGTTGGGGGGGGGGATATATCTGGGAGGGGTCTGGTGTGGGGTAAGGAGGGGGGTAGAATGTAGCAGGGATGGGGAAGCAGAGGGGATGTGGCAGGACCTCAGCTGCTAGCCAGCCAGCCTGCCTGCCTCCCTCCCTGCTAACCAGCCAGCCTGCCTCCCTGCTAACCAGCCAGCCTGCCTCCCTGCTAACCAGCCAGCCTGCCTCCCTGCTAACCAGCCAGCCTGCCTCCCTGCTAACCAGCCAGCCTGCCTCCCTGCTAACCAGCCAGCCTGCCTTCCTGCCTGCCCACCTGCTAGCCAGCCAACCTGCCTGATAGCCAGTC